CTCGGCTGTGCAGAGCCCAAGTGCCTTCATCCCGCACTCTGCCTCCCCACACACGGAGCCAGGGCCCCACTCCCTGTCCCAGCCACTCTGGGGGACATCTGTGCCTGCTGCTGTGACACTGGGGGGCACATGGAGCCCCCCACACTCATCCCTTGGGGCTGGACAGATGCTGCTGCTGCTGCTGGATTCGTGGACACTCTGGCAAGGATGGGATGTCCCAGGTGACTTGGCCTGGCAGGAGGTGGAGCTGGGGCTCAGGCGAGGACCAAACCCCAAACCTCGGAGGCTTCTCTGCCTGCTCGGGCCCCCCAGCCCTGCTCTGCCCGGGGGTCCATCACTCACGCACAGCCTCCCCTTGCTGGCTCTGCATGGGGACACGACAGGACCCTCTCCCTGCCTCCGGACCTCTCCTCTCACTGGGGGTATCCCTGTCCCCTGCCAGACCCTGGGTTGGACAGACCCTGCATGGGGACAGACCTCGCTGCTGCTCCAGGGGGCCGGGGGGCACTGTGGCACCCCCTGCCCTGTCCCTTCACTGCAAGGGACAGCTCTGTGGGCACTGCCCCCACCTTCCCCTGGGACTCACAGGGGGAATTCCCCTTATTTTCTTAAATAAAAGAAAAATTTGTCTCATAGTGGAAGGGTTTCTCTCCCTGTGTGCTGGGGGCTGTGAAAGGCCCCAGGGGCACCCCCCACGGGTGCCAGCCATGTCCCTGCTGTGTGGGCACAGTACTGTCACCCACCAGGTCCTTGCTGGCCCTGCTCCCCCCAGCAGCACCCCACTGCTGATGGGGCAGGGGGATACCCCATCCCTGCTGACCTGCTGTGTCCCAAAGGTGCTCTCCCTGCCCCGGGGGCTGGAGGAAGCTCACTGGACCCTCCTCAGCACCCCTGCTTGGGCCAGGACCTCATGGTGGGGAGCACAAAGGGTCTGTTCCCCCCTGTCCCAGCAGGGGGGTGGGTGACAGGCCAGCTCTGCTTGCTGCATTTATTGATTTCCTTTTGCTCCAACCAGGCAGATGGGGCCGAAATAAAAACCAAAATCACCCAAAACAACCCAAAACCCAGGGGAGGATGGGGAGGGGATGGGAAAGGGGAGTCCTACCCCTGGCGTGGGGATGCTGCTGCAAGGAGGGACAGCTGGTCCCCAAAGTGGGGGACAGGCAGCCCCCCAAAGCAGAGGGGCTGGGGAAGGCCAGGTGGGCACTGAGGGCTGAGCAGGATGGACAGTGGGGCTGTGCCCAGACCCTCACCCCTGGAGGGGGCCTGGCCCTGCCCCCCCCCTTGCTCCCCAGCAGCTGTCGCTCCCAGTGTCCCCCCATGGCACAGTTCATCCCCCCC